GGCGGGGGAGGCGGCGCGATTAGGGAGGGGGCGAGCGAACGCGGGATCGGTATTTGCTCCCGGGGCCGGCGGGCGATCGGGGCCAGGTGGGGAGGAAAAGGGAGATGGGGGCCGCCCTCCAAGGGGGTCGAAGCCGCCGCCGCCACCGTCGCGGCGGCGACTGAAGCCGAGAAGAGCAGAGGGGGGCGGGGAGCGGCCGCCGCCGCCCCCCGGAAGCGCCGGAGCCCCAAATCCCGCCCGGAGCCAGCCAGCCGTCCGGAGCTACAACCAGGTAAGCTGTGTGCCGCCGGGGCCTCCAGCCGGCCGCGTTCTAGCCCACGACTCCCCACCCCCACCCCTCCCATCTCCCCCTCCCGTTGCCTACGCCTCCATTTGTTATTTTCGCGATCCGGTCCCCCTACTGCGGGCACTGCTTGGCCTGAGGTTGGGGGCTCAGGGGGTGGGGTCGGCCCCGAGGAGGGATGGGGGCCTAGGCACTCTTGAGGATCGGGAAGGTGGGGAGAGATGGGAGGGACTCTGGAAGAGGACTGTTGGGGCAAGAAGGGTAGCCAGGACCCCGGGACTAGAAGAGGCGGAACGCGGATCTGGGGACGTGGGGGTGTTGGGTGAGGAAAAACGGGGAATGCCGATGAGGGGAATTGGAGAGATGGCAGCGAGGTGGGGCTTGAGGACTCCAGGAAAAGCCTCATAGGCCTCGAGTCTGGGTTTAAGGGCCAGGGTTTGGGGTGTTAGGAATAGAAGGGAAGTGGGAAATGGGGAAGGGGTGTGGTAGGTGAAATGAGGGATTGTGGCTGATGAGGAAGGGAAACAGAACCTGGGGAAACTGGTTACGAAAGGGGCAAGGAAAGGTCCCTGTTTCAGAAGAACCAGGGATTTTGAGGGGTGGGAGTGAGGTGATGCCTTTGTGATACCTTTTTCTTTCCTTTACTGCAGGTCATCTCAGACCCTGTTTTCTCAATCCTAGACATAGTTACTTTTGGGAGAGGGACGTTGGTGCCCTGTATTGTGGGTCCCCCTAACACTGTGAAAGACCAGAGCATTGAAGGGAGAAAAGGTTTCAGAGATGGTGGAGAGAAGAAAGAATTGGGCAGCTTTACAGGCACTCCCAGCAAGTTGTGACCCCACCCTCAAATCCCCAGAGCACCGGCTGCCCCTCTAGGTGTGGTCTATGTATAGGGGGGCCTTCATTACTTCATTACTGCCTTGAGCTTTAAGATCTCCCTTTGTGCCAGGTGGACCCCTGGGATGGTCTCTTGGGGTGGGGGGGTTGCCATTTTGTTGCTATGGTAATGGTCCAGTGGGATGTCCAATAGGTGGGGGTTCAGAATCTTGATTGGACCTCAGTGTGTAGTTATGTCCTTGGGGTACAGCAGGGCCCCCATTCTTAGCTCTTGCCTGGGTTCTGTATGATGTTTTTTATACTGCTGGTGGATAGGAGGTTCCCCAGAGGATGCACCCCTTTCCTTCCAGCAGTCTCTTGGAACAGGTAGACATGTTTTACCTGCAGGTCATATACACTTACTCCAAGTCCTATCCCTCCTCCTAGGCCTGGTGGGTGGTTGAAAATGCTCAGAAGTTGTATCATCTTTCTGGTCTCTGGCTTGCTTATTATTAAGGACTTTTTACACAGGCATTTTTGTTGTTGTTTTTGTTCCCCGTTCTCTGTACTGAAGTCCTTCCATTTTCTTAAACTTTAATTTCTCTTTGAGTCTCCCTTACCAAGGAGTATCATTTTACCTCTTTCCCAGAGCATCTGACTTGGGGACCCTTTCCCTCAGCTAACCTTCAAACATCTACTTCCCTGACCTTGCAGGAATGACCAGGTTCTCCCAAGTGAGGGTGGCCCAGGAGAGAGGGCTGTGCACAGCCTGGTGCAGTAGAATGGAAACTAAGAGACCTGGGTCTAGTCTTGGTTGTGCCTCTGTGACCTTGGGCAAGTCACTTTCTTTGCTCTTCAGCTTCAGGTAATAGAGAGGATTTTAGACTTGCTGATCTCTGAGGCCCCTCTTTCAAGCCTGGATTCTAAAGTGGTTTAAGCCAGTGCATTGCTGTTATCTGCTGGTCTGGGCTGCGTTGTTATCTAAAAGACACTTTGGACTGGTTTGCCAGTCAGTCAGGTCTGGAATGAAGAGGGTTGGGCCAGTGATCCTGAAATTCACCCTGTAAGTCCCTCCCACAAAGCCTTGTGACTAGATTGTATTTCTTCTGATATCCTTTCCATACCAAAATAACAACAAAAAAAATAACAACACACCAAACCAGTTGTCATCAAGTTGATTGTTTTTTTCTGAGATAGAAAATCATCAGGTCTTTCTTCCAGGGCACCTCTGGGAAGACTCAACCACTAATCTTTCTGTATCAGCCAAGCATTTGAACCATTTGAACCCCCCTGGGCTCCTAGTCTTTTCATTTTCCTATTCATATTGATTCTTTTCCTATTGCTCACATCCCCTTTCCAGTTTCCCAATCTAGTGTATCATTTTCCCTTAGCAGTAAGGTAATCAAGGTGAATGTGTTTAGTGTGTTGCCAGACACATAGTGGGTGCTCTATAAATATTAGTTATAGTGACTCATTGCTAGAGCAAGGAGTATAGCTCAACTGGTTGGTCTAGAATATGCCCCAGGTTCAAAACCATGCATATAATCCAGTTCCAGTCCCTCCCTTCATCCCTGGAATTACCTCCCTCCCTTTTTAAGATTGCTTTTCTCCTTCAATGCTACTTTTTGCTAATTTTAACAGATTTCTGCTAATTTTTAAAAAGTTGAGCTGAGGGGAAGGACACACTGGTTGCTGTTTTTCAGGGACATTTCCTGTATTTCTGTGATCTTTTGAATACCTTGACTGATTAGATGAACAGGTTCTGTGATAGGAGGAGAGATGGGTAGCCAGCTCTAGAGGGAATGGCAAAGATCACAACCAATCATAAATATTCATCTTTGTTGTGCTTTTGTTTAAATTGTTTTTCCCTTTTGTTATATTGGATTTTATCCTTTGCATTTGGGGGGTTGACAGTGTTTTAAAACCAATCTGCACAAGAACAAAAAATGTGGCAGTAGTTGTAGTTGATGAGGAAAAAAAAAAGATGATTCAACTAAGTAGAACACCATTTGAAAGTTAAATAGGCCTGGGACTTTGTACCAGCTATTTTGTGACTCTAGGTAAATTGTCATAAATTTTTCTGCAAAGGTTAAGCTCACCCTTCCCTACTGGCATCAGAAAGATTGGAAATGAATGAGAAATACTCCTTGGGAAACGATGCTGTAGAATGTGCAGATGCCATTTACCTAGCCAGGCTTCCTAACTTAGAATGATTGGGTAAGCTTACTTGCTTCTCACTGTGGCTAGCAGCACTTAATTCAAGAAGACATATTGAAATTAGTGGGTTTAAAGGTCAATAACCAGAAAAAACCACCTGTAGATACATGCATTTTTGTTGTTAAGTGCTTTTGAGCCAATTCCGACTTAGAGTGACCCTGTCTAGGGTTTCTGAGGAGCAGCTGGTGACATGCATAGGAAGGGGCAAAAAGTCAGAAAATGTCGTTGCTTTTAAAGATTTTATAATCTGTAATACAGAGAGCTATGACTCAGAAGGAATTACAAATAAGTGCAAATGAAAATAGTGGGCTTCACAAACACTCGCATACAAAAAATATTGTGTAATTTAGAGATACCTAGGTTTGGTCTTGAGATTGGTAGGACTGTACTCCTTTGTGTTGTAGGATGGGGCATTCTTTCCCCATCTACTCTGTTTTGTTTGTTTTTAAATTCTTTTCAGATCTCTGGGACTGATCTAGGCCTTCTGAGAATTCTCCCCACCAGTTTCTGAAGCGAGTACATCCAAATATAGAAGAGTGAGCAGGGGCTTTGAAGTTAGATGTGGGCTTGAATCTGGCTCTGTCACATATTACCTTTGTGAAGTTGGGCAAGTCACAATCACATTTCTCTGAGCCTTAGTTTTCTCATCAACATAATGGGAATAATAATGAGAGTACTTGCTTTTCAGAGTTGATTGGACATATTAAATGAAATTGTGTATGTCAAGGACTTAAATAAAGAAGGTACTAGTAAATTATTACTCCATATTCATTTCTTTATGCTCCTTTGTAAAGCTCTGTGGCGTTTGCGTGCATACCAATATTCTATAGAGATCGTCAAGGGTAAAATATGTAATCTTCTGGATTGGGGCTCATAGGTAGGTCTTGAGTTTTCTGCTTTCCCCAGAGATAAAAGATTCTTTTGTGAGTAGCTTCTCTCTCCTTCACTTGTAGATGAGCTGAGGTTGCCCATGGCGCCTGTACCTCTCTCTGCCCAAAGGCCAAAGGCTGCTTACTCAGTCCTCTGGCAGAAACAGACTCTTATCACCCAATTTTGAGACTCTGGTGGTCTGTTTCTACAGGCTTCACTAAAAGATCCTGCAAGTTCCAGATACTTACACTAGAACTTTGGAGATCCTGCTTCTTACTTCCCCAGGCCTCAGTGGTGGGGAACTTGGGGTGAAGCAGAGAAGTTTCTGTATTCAGCTGCCCAGGCAGAGGAGAATGGGGTCTCCACAGCCTGAAGAATGAAGACGCGACAGAATAAAGACTCAGTAAGTAACAGCTAAAAGTGAGAGACATGGAAGGTTAAGGGAAAGGAAGTGGTAAAACCTGGAAAGGAAAAATATAAAGGCATATCATAAAGTTAGGCTTGATATAAAAAAAATAACTTGTCTTCTTCCTCAGATGTCAATGAGGAGTGGACGGAAGAAAGAGGCCCCTGGGCCCCGGGAAGAACTGAGATCGAGGGGCCGGGCCTCTCCTGGAGGGGTCAGCACGTCCAGCAGTGATGGCAAAGCCGAGAAGTCTAGGCAGACAGCCAAGGTATTCTGTCTTTAGGTTCTCTCACAGGAGGCCTGGCGGGCACTGGGGCTGAGAGTGTATGTGTATGTTATGGGGGCACTTCCTGTTTGGCAGATGTTAGCTGTGGAGTCTCGGGAGACTCAAGGTCTAAGACAAAACTTTTCTCTGATAGAAGGCCCGAGTAGAGGAAGCCTCTACTCCAAAGGTCAGCAAGCAGAGCCGGAGTGAGGAGATGTCAGAGAGTGAAAGTGAGGAGACCAGTGCACCAAAAAAGACTAAAACGGAGGTGAGATGCCTTTGCAGCCATCCTGATCCATTACCTGGGCATTCTTTCTCTCCTCTAAACTTCTCTCACTCACTATTCCTACATCTATCTCACCTGGGTTTTAAGAGAGTACCCACATCCTAGTAGTTTAACAAATTAGCCTTGTTAGACATATATACACTGATGTTGTTTAGGGTGTTGGTCAGTAGGTGACCAGGCAGGGTCATGGGGGACTAGAAGAGTTTAAGGGATTTAGCCCTTTTTGCCTTAAGGAGCTCAGGTAGCATAGTGGTTATGAGTTGGGCTGCTAATCTCAAGGTAAGCAGTTTGAAACTACCAGCAGTTCCGCAGGAGAAAGATGAGACTTTCTGCTCCTGTAAAGATTTACAGCTCCGGAAACGCTGTGTAGGGTCGCTATGAGTCGAAACCGACTCCACAGCGCACAACACCAATCATTCCTTTTTGCCATAGATCCTGGTATTTCACATAGGACTGGGAAGGAGGTTCATGATGAGAAGTCTTAATAGAAGAAACAAGTAAACCATAAGGAAAATGCAGAATGTACCTTTTTTTAAGAGCTGAGGGTTTTTGAGATGATCCATTAAAGGGATAAATGTGAAGAGGAGGGCAGATATGAGATGGGAAAGATAGGGATGGTCCAACTATGAAAGGGGAGAAGGTACTGAGATGGACACTTGAGGATGAATAGGCTTTTTTTAATAAGGAAGGAAATCAGGTTGGCTGTTAAAGAGCAGTGGAGAATGTAGGGAGAGTGGGGGAATTCCCAGATGGCGAGGTGGGCTTGAACAAGAGTGTTCATCACATCACAATACACAGAGATGCTCTGAGGGAGAAGTGATTTTGTGCAAGGGAGGCCACAAATCTAGGGAAGCAAGAAAGATGAAAATATGGTCCTCCCTTTCCTATAGCAGGAGCTCCCTCGGCCACAGTCTCCCTCTGATCTGGACAGCTTAGATGGGCGGAGCCTCAATGATGATGGCAGCAGTGACCCTAGGGATATTGACCAGGACAACCGCAGCACTTCCCCCAGCATCTACAGCCCCGGAAGTGTGGAGAATGATTCCGACTCATCTTCTGTCCTGTCTCAGGGCCCAGCCCGACCCTACCACCCACCTCCACTCTTTCCTCCCTCCCCTCCCTCAGCAGATAGCAACCCACGACAGCCAGAGCCTAGCTTTGAACCCCATCCTTCTGTGACTCCCTCTGGATATCATGCTCCCATGGAGTCCCCCACATCTCGAATGTTCCAGGCTCCTCCAGGTGCCCCTCCCCCTCACCCACAGCTCTATCCTTCAGGGGCTGGTGGGGGAGTTTTGTCTGGACCTCCAATGGGTTCCAAGGGGGGAGGGACTGCCTCTTCGGTAGGAGCCTCCAGTGGGGGTAAGCAGCATCCCCCACCCACTACCCCCATTTCAATCTCAAGCTCTGGGGCTAGTGGTGCTCCCCCAACAAAGCCACCTACCACTCCAGTGGGTGGTGGGAACCTACCCCCTGCTCCACCACCAGCCACCTTCCCCCATGTGACACCAAATCTGCCTCCCCCACCTGCCCTGAGACCCCTCAACAATGCATCGGCCTCTCCTCCTGGCCTAGGGGCTCAGCCACTACCTGGGCATCTGCCCTCTCCCCATGCCATGGGACAGGGTATGGGTGGACTTCCCCCTGGTCCAGAGAAGGGGCCAACCTTGGCCCCCTCTCCCCACCCTTTGCCCCCTACTTCCTCCTCTTCTGGCCCAGCCCCCCCTATGAGGTATCCTTACTCGTCTTCTAATAGCTCTGCAGCAGCCTCCTCTGCCAGTTCTTCGTCTGCATCCCAGTACCCAGCTTCCCAGGCATTGCCCAGTTATCCTCACTCCTTCCCACCCCCAACAAGTCTCTCTGTCTCTAATCAGCCACCCAAATATACTCAACCTTCCCTCCCATCCCAGGCTGTGTGGAGCCAGGGTCCCCCACCACCTCCTCCTTATGGCCGCCTCTTAGCTGCCAACAACAATGCCCATCCAGGTCCCTTCCCTCCTTCCACTGGGGGCCAATCCACTGCCCACCCAGCAACCCCAACACACCACCATCACCACCAGCAGCAGCAACAACAGCAACATCATGGAAGCTCTGGGCCCCCTCCACCTGGAGCATATCCCCACTCTCTGGAGGGCAGTAGTTCTCACCATGCGCACCCTTATGCCATGTCGCCCTCTCTGGGGTCTCTGAGGCCCTACCCACCAGGACCAGCACACTTGCCTCCGCCTCACAGCCAGGTGTCCTATAGCCAAGCGGGTCCCAATGGCCCCCCAGCTTCTTCTGCCTCTTCTAACTCCTCTTCCTCCTCCCAAGGGTCCTACCCATGTTCACACCCTTCTCCTTCCCAGGGCCCCCAAGGGGCCCCCTACCCTTTCCCACCCGTGCCTCCAGTCACCACCTCCTCAGCTACCCTTTCCACTGTCATTGCTACCGTGGCCTCCTCACCAGCAAGCTACAAAACGGCCTCCCCACCAGGGCCCCCACCATATGGAAAGAGAGCCCCATCCCCTGGGGCCTACAAGACAGCCACCCCACCAGGATATAAGCCGGGGTCACCGCCCTCATTCCGAACAGGGACCCCACCTGGCTACCGAGGCGCCTCGCCCCCCGCTGGTCCAGGGACTTTCAAGCCAGGCTCCCCCACTGTGGGGCCCGGGCCACTACCACCAGCGGGGACCTCAAGTCTGTCCTCCCTTCCACCACCGCCTGCGGCCCCTGCTTCAGGGCCACCTTTAAGCGCCACACAGATCAAACAGGAGCCGGCTGAGGAGTATGAACCTCCCGAGAGCCCAGTGCCTCCTGCCCGCAGCCCCTCGCCCCCTCCCAAGGTGGTAGATGTACCCAGCCATGCCAGCCAGTCTGCCAGGTGAGAGGTTTGGGCTGGGTGCAGGCAGGCAGACGGGAATTGAATCCACGGAGTGCTGGCAAGAGGGGGGAGTAGGCACGGGAGGGACCTTGCATTCATATGCTTTTTGGACTGTTTCGTGTTCCTGCGCCCTTGCCTTGCCCTCAAGGCCCTGACATAAATAGTTCAGGGTCTGCGGAAGCTGGTTTGGGACGTCGAGGCAGCATCAGGCTCGAAAGGGTTGGGTCGCCGCGGGGCCGCCCGGGCAGCTCGCAAGGGCTGAGCGCGCGCCGCTTCCGCGCCTGGCAGGTTCAACAAACACCTGGACCGCGGCTTTAATTCGTGCGCGCGCAGCGACCTGTACTTCGTGCCACTGGAGGGCTCCAAGCTGGCCAAGAAGCGGGCCGACCTAGTGGAGAAGGTGCGGCGCGAGGCCGAGCAACGCGCGCGCGAAGAAAAGGAGCGCGAACGCGAGCGCGAACGCGAGAAGGAACGCGAACGTGAGAAGGAGCGCGAGCTCGAGCGCAGCGTGGTGAGTGCGTCACAAAATGCGCCACCCGCCTTCTTTCCCTCCCTCTTGCGCTGAGCCGGGAGGCTAGACGGGTGGGATCATAATAACGCCACCAGTCGACTAGGAGGAATCATTACAGCTCAGGAAATGGAGACTAAAGGGATTCCTATGAAAAGAATCTGCATTCTTTCTTGGGTTGGGGCAGACAAGGTCAGGTGAGGTTATCTACGGGTCACAAGAAGGAATTTAGAAGTTCCAGGTAGCCATAATTACCATGTTGTGAGTTATTTTAGCATTCATTTCTGGGACAAATGGGCAGCTTGGGACCAGAGACCACTTTCTGTTAAGTGATGTCAAATTGGTTCCAACTCAGCCACTCTGTAGAGGTTTCCCAGGAGGGGCTAGTGAGCTTGAACCGCCGACCTTATGGTTCAAACCAACTTTGTAGTCCGGCGCATTAACCCGCGGCGCCACACCAGGACTCCAGGGCCTTTTTCTAGAACTGTTTTTTTACTTCTTATGTGTAAAGAAGAAAATACTTAACCAATAATCTGACTAGCTCATAACACACATTTATTTTGATTTGTTTTCTTTCAGCCTTTTTCCTAGTCATATATTCAGAGGTTTCTTTTTTGCATGTCATATTAAATGGTGCTTAAAACTGCTTTTAAAATCCATTTCCCATTTGTCCCACAGAAGTTGGCTCAGGAGGGCCGTGCTCCAGTGGAGTGCCCATCTTTGGGTCCAGTGCCCCATCGCCCTCCATTTGAGCCTGGCAGTGCTGTGGCTACAGTGCCCCCCTACCTGGGTCCCGACACACCAGCCCTGCGCACCCTCAGTGAATATGCCCGACCCCATGTCATGTCTCCTGGCAATCGCAACCACCCATTCTATGTGCCCCTGGGGGCAGTGGACCCCGGGCTCTTGGGTTACAATGTCCCAGCCTTGTACAGCAGTGACCCAGCTGCCCGGGAGAGGGAGCGGGAAGCCCGTGAGCGAGACCTTCGTGACCGTCTCAAGCCTGGCTTTGAGGTGAAGCCCAGTGAGTTGGAACCCCTACATGGAGTTCCTGGGCCAGGTCTTGATCCCTTTCCTCGACATGGGGGCCTGGCCCTGCAGCCTGGTCCACCTGGCCTGCACCCTTTCCCCTTTCATCCAAGCCTGGGGCCCCTAGAACGAGAACGTCTAGCGCTAGCAGCTGGGCCAGCCCTGCGGCCTGATATGTCTTATGCTGAGCGACTGGCAGCTGAGAGGCAGCATGCAGAAAGGGTGGCAGCCCTGGGCAATGACCCACTGGCCCGGCTGCAGATGCTCAACGTGACCCCCCATCACCACCAGCACTCCCACATCCACTCGCACCTACACTTGCACCAGCAGGATGCCATCCATGCAGGTAAGATTTCCTACTTCCCTGACTTGGCCCTTTGGGGTGTCTTTACCCTTGACAAAGTGACCAGGTTCCTCCATTCCTCAGGCCAAGACTTCCTTCCTCTAGGCTGGCATGAGCCTCTTCAAGCCCCTAGCTTGTCTCCTTCAGCCCTAGCCTAGCTACAGAGCTCATGTGCTCCACACAGCAGCCCTCTCCTTAGGCTAGCAAACCATCCATGATAAGGCTCAAGTCAGAGCTCTGTGAAGAAACACCACCTTTCTACACTTACAGCTCTTTCCCCCACATCCTTCACTTACCTATTTTCTTGTTCCTTCTTTTTTAACTTTTAGATTGTTTCTTGCCATCCTGTCTTCCCCTGCCAGGTGGAGATCTTTCATATTCCTCTCTACTTGTAGATCTGATATAGCTCTTTCTAGATTTAGATCCAGAAAGAGCCTTGCTGCTTTAGTGTTGGATGTGTAGGTGGTAATGGGCTATACTCTCCTTTGACCAAATTTCTTACTGTCCAAAACATTGCCTGGCATAGCCTTTCAGTTGTGTTCATCCTAGGCTTCCTTGTGCCTTCTCCCTCTATAACGTCTCGTTTCCCTGCCTCATTTCCTAAACTTGTGTTTATCCTTTTTCATTTTCTGAGTCTTCCTTTTGCTCTGAGCCCTCTGGTCATTACAGTTTCCTATCTTCTGTCATCCATTTACCCCTATTCCAGTCCCCTGAAAAAGGAGTGTGCTTTAGTCCTGTCCACTCCCCAGGTCCCTAGTTCTTTCCTTCTGCCTCCTATTCCATTCTGGATCTCCCTGTGTTTCACTCTCCATTTATCTTCTTTCACCAGGTTTTCCTTCACTCAGATGGATTGTTTGCCTCCTGGTGACACCTTCCTTTTCTCTGTCCTTCAGCCTCTGCCTCGGTGCATCCTCTCATTGATCCCCTGGCTTCAGGGTCTCACCTTACCCGGATCCCCTACCCAGCTGGGACCCTCCCCAACCCTCTTCTTCCACATCCTCTGCACGAGAACGAAGTTCTTCGTCACCAGCTTTTTGGTAAGGATAAGGGTTGGGGAAGCTCTAATGAGGGAAGGTCAGAAAGACGGCATTGGGATGGTGGGACTGACCTAGTTGGGTTTGGGGAGGGAGGAAGAGCAGCTCAAGAGAGACATAGGCTGCACTATCAAGGTTTGTAACCTGGCTCCACCACTGACACCCTGCAAGACTGGGTGTGTAACCTAAATTCTTAGTCTCAGTTCCCCCCTGGCCTGTAGGAGGTGCTCAGTACCTATCAGCCCTGTGCCCTCTGCCTCTCCTACCCACAGCTGCCCCCTACCGGGACCTGCCAGCCTCCCTCTCTGCCCCGATGTCAGCAGCCCACCAGCTGCAGGCCATGCACGCGCAGTCTGCGGAGCTGCAGCGCCTGGCACTGGAGCAGCAGCAGTGGCTGCATGCCCACCATCCCCTGCACAGCGTGCCGCTCCCTGCACAGGAGGACTACTACAGGTGTGGTGCTGGGGGCGATCCTGGGCCAGGGACCAGGGCCAGCCTGGAATAGGGGGTAGGGGTAGGGTCTGGGAGCTCAGGACTACAGGCTCTGCATCTGTGAGAGGTACCAGGCTATGGGCTTGCTTACCTCATACTCATTCAATCCTGTTCTGACTCCTCTTGCCTTTCCCTATCCTCTTCCCCAAGTCACCTGAAGAAGGAAAGCGACAAGCCTCTGTAAACCTGTGACCAAGAGAGCACCTATGGCCCTGCATCTGGACCTTGGAGGCCCCCCTTCCGGCAGGCCACAAAGATCCCAGGAGAGGAAAACGCTCAGTTCCAGGGCCTTGGCAACTGGACAGTGGGGAGGAGAAAAGGACAGACAGAAGGCCAATGCTGGTGTGGGGAGGTGGTGAGGGTGGGGCAGAAGCGCACAGTATCTCGGACCAGGTTCCTCTTCCTTGTCCCCCTGCTTTCCTCCTCCCTGAAATCCAGCCCTTGGTGGCCATAACCCCCTCCCCTCCCCTGTTGGTGTGATTATTTCATCTGTTAGATGTGGCTGTTTTGCGTAGCATCGTGTGCCGCCCCTGCCCCCCCAATCCCTGTGTGCGCGCCCCCTGCGATGTATGCCCCTTCCCTCTCCCACATTAATAATTTATATATATAAATATCTATATGATGCTCTTTAAAAAACATCCCAACCAAAACCAAACAAACAAAAATATCCTCACAACTCCCCAGGAAGATGGCTGTGACTCGTTCTTTGCGGGATATGGGACTGAGGGTGGGTCCCCGTGTAGGGATGCCTAGAGAAAAAGCTGTGGAACCAGAAATTAGTGGGGAAGTGGAAGGGAGAGGACTTGAGAAAATAACTGAGTATAAAGACCCTGGAGAGTTGCCGGTGTCTTCGAAGTCAGATGGTTACACTGGGGGGTGTGACACACCCACATGGGATCCTGTCATCACCCTGGCTTTCTCAAGACTGGGAAAGTCAAACTGTAGGAGGCCTGGAACTGGTCTGCCTCTGACAGGACCCTCTATGAAACTACCCTGAGCTCCTTTAAACTAAAGGAGTCCTTGGGTCGTTTCAGCCACTCGCACAACTAGGGGCCACGGAGTCCTCTGGGACAAGGGTTTCAGAGTGCTGTATTCGCTTGCACTAGCTTAAACAGTTATGAAGTAAGGGTGGGCGTGGTTTCAAATAGGTCGCTGCCTTTCGGTTTGAGGTGGTGGTGGTGGTTTGAGAAGTGGGTGAGAATTTCAAACACCTGGAAGAGAAGACGACAAAACCTAGGGCGCTGTAGTACCCACTCCTACGAAACAAAGCCTTTTTAGGAAAGTGTTAGAGCTGCGCTTGCTCAGTTTAACGCTGCGAATCACAGTCTGAGTTCTTATAAACGGAAGGGGGTGTGACTGGTTGTTTTTCAGCCAATCAATACCGCGCTCATTTGCATAAACTCGCAACAAACGTTCACAAACTCTTAAAAATTAACTACTTAAATTAGTTCCTTAGAAGATTGCGTTTCTAATTGAAAATTAGTTTGCACCGTTGCTTACATATTAGTAGGGATTCCAAAACTTCCACTCTTTCTTTCACCGTCACCAATAGTGGAGTCCATGGATAGCCCATGTTCTTTACACGCTCGTTTCTCTCGCAGTGTTACAGCTCTTTTAGAATTTGTCTAGTAGGCCTTCTGGTTTTTATCCGGAAAGCCCTCTTCCTATTTGTGTGGTACATAAAAATAGATCTTACTGAGTTAGTTTAGTTCAACCTGTTTTTACAATTGGTTCATTATTGCCTTGTAGTTTCATAAATTTGTCTGCCTTATTTTCTTCCGCCCGCCCCCCAGTTGAACCACTGGAAATACGTAGTAGTGGCTTCCGGCTGCGGAGGATGTTGTTTCCCATCTACTCTCGCTGATCCTAGAAATCGTTCTGGGAGGTGGCTCTTTCCTGCGGAGTTTTCTCGGTTCCTCGATGCACGTGCATTTTTTCTAGTTCTATATGGCGTCCGCCTCGGCCCAACCCGCGGCTCTGAGCGCCGAACAGGCCAAGGGTGAGGAGGCTCTGGGTGGAGTGTCTGATGGGGGAGGGTACGGCAGACGACAGGGAAGGGAGATGGCTGCAGTCGACGGGGGCGGGGAGCGCCGCGTACAATCTCTGCTAAGTGGGGTCCTTGACCCCTAGAGCGAAGGATTCTGGGACCAATTTTATTAGGTTACCAACCGCTCAGTCCCCTAATTATATCTCCTTCCCTACGCTCTCGGCTGGGCCCGCCTGCTGTGCCCCGACGCTGACGCTTGGACGCCTTCTTGGGGTACCTTTTGGGGCGCAGTGGTCCTGGCTGAGGTCATCCAGGCATTCTCGGCTCCGGAAAACGCCGTGCGCATGGATGAAGCTCGGGATAACGCGTGCAATGATATGGGCAAGATGCTGCAATTTGTTCTGCCCGTGGCCACGCAGATCCAGCAGGAGGTCATCAAAGCCTATGGCTTCAGCTGCGACGGGGAAGGTGGGTTGGACGGTGATCCAGGTGGATCTGGAATCGGTAGTTCCACTTCTTGCCACTTGGCGGCAGCCACTATCTAACAGTATTGGCTCTCAGAACCCAGAGGCGACATTGATCTTGTGCCAGGCGAAGACCTAGGTGGTTTTGTAGTTTGCCATTAATCAGTTTAATATCCTCATTGTTGTTTTTGTTAAGTGCCGTCAGTCAGTTACAACTCATAGCGACTCTGAATTGGGTTTCTAGTGGGTTTGAACCGCTGACCTTGAGGTGGTTAGTAGTCCAGTGTGGATCGTACAGTGTCACCAAGACCACAGTATTCTCATTATTCTACTTTAAGACGAGAGATAGAGTCCAATAGTTAAGTATTCATTGTCGCAGCAGAGCTGGACTTGAACCAATCTTGTTAGTGTATTAGTGAGAAAATGGCTCGAGAGCTTGCTCTGCAGCCTCTCCAAGGTGTGGAAACAGTAATATTTGTTTAGGGCTTGGTTGTTAGATATCCTTGGTGAGATCTCCCTGTTCCTCAAGGGTGTTTTTCCATTCAGCCCAGCTGCTCCGTAATCTTCCTGTGCCTGATTGCAGACCTTGGATCTCTTGGGTACTTTACTGTGGATTCTTGTGACTAAAATGGCTCACCTGAGTGAGAGAACACACTCTTTGGGATATTTTTCATTCCCTGTACTCTCAGCCATGGATAGTGTAGACCAGGAAGAGGTTGATCCAAACCACCTAGAAACTGGTCCCTGGAGTGTGGGTTGATTGTCTATTCTTCCTTGCAGGTGTCCTTAAGTTTGCCCGCTTGGTCAAATCCTATGAAGCCCAGGATCCTGAAATGGCCAGTTTGTCAGGGAAGCTGAAGGCTCTGTTCCTGCCTCCAATGACCCTGCCGCCCCACGGGCCTGCTCCAGGTGGCAGTGTTGCTGCCTCCTGAGGGGCTTGGCCCTTCCCCATGGCCAGTGCTGCTTTGGGAAGAGGAAGACTTTGGCATTCCTAGAGGATAATAAATGTGTCTGTGATTTGGTCTTGGCCTCAGTCCTTTGTGATCCTACAGCCTTTTACCTCCTGTCTCCAGATTCCCTCACCTTTCCTGGCTGCCCTACCATTCCCTTTCCAGATCTTTCCTATGCTCCCTGCTGGGCCTAGCCCTGGCCCAAAGAAGGCCTCAGGCTCCTCACTCTTCTCCCAACTCAAGGAACGGTGAGAGAATGAACTGGTTCTTCAAAACCCTGAATGGGTGAGCAGGTCTGCTTGATGGCACTTCCAGGGTTTTCACTTAGGCCACTTGGTATCCTTATTGGTTGGTGTTCCCTTGGCCTAATTTACTTCCTGGTCTTTGCCCCTACCCACCCTCCACTGCTCTGCCAGGTGGAGCTCCAGGTGGCTCCTCCCCTCCCAAGGGAAGGCGGCACGGGACAGGCTCCTAAGGCTGAAGAGAAGTGGGTTGCTGTAGGCGGGTCTGAGGCTAGCCCCACCTCACCTGTCCCTGATCTAGGGGCTTGTCCTTTCCTTGTGTTGCCATTGGCCTGGCAGCCTGGATTAAGGAGGAAGTAGCTGGCTTCTGAGCACTTGTGTTCACCTGGCCGGGCCACTGTACTCTGCCCCTGACTCGGCCCCACCCCCTGTGGCCCTCTGTTTGTGACTGACTTCCCCATTCTTTCCTGGGAGATGCTGTCCCATGGGTAAGTCCCCTAAGGGCCCTACCTGGGTCCTACAGACTGTTTAATTGGTGAGGGGAGGGGTCTATGCTCATTCCAGCAGGCATCTGACCATGAATGTGACTGCCCTGAGCCTGCTCCGGGTCTCTTGTCCCTACATTCCCTTTGTCACCCCAAGATACATGGACCCCAGCCTCATTTATGCACTCTGCCACCACTTTTTTCTTATACTTTATCACTGACAGATCATATGTCTATCGTCACTCTCATATTTCTACCACTAGCCTGCTTTTGTCTCCTGCTAAGGATCTGTCCCCCTGGGTAACCCACATCATCTTAAGCTTGGCATGTCTGAAAGGCAAACCTGAGAAACTCTCCCATTCTACCCCCCTGCACGTCCTAGCTTCTGGCTTTGATTCCATTTTCTTTCAGTTTCCCTTAACTCCCTCTCTTTATTCATCCAACAAATAAATATCAAGCATCTCTTATTTGCTGTCTATTGTTTAAAATGCTGCCAATACCGTAGTCAGCAAGACAGTGCAGTCTCTGCTCTCATGGAGCTTACATTTTAGTGGGAGTTGGCAGACTAATCAACCCAATAAACAGAATAATGTTGGATCTTCTTGTTATGCACACAGTGAAACAGCTTCATGTGAGCAAGTGCCAGCCGAGCTAGGGAGATAACAAGCTAAAGAAACCAGGGTGGGCTTTTGAGCTGAGTCCTCTGGATTGGGAGGTAGTGATCAAGAGTCAAGGATCTCAGACAGAAGATATGGCAAATAGCATGTCTGAATCAAGAGTCAGCCAGTGGAAAGAGAGGCAGAGCCTGGGCAGATTAGGCCTTGTTGGAGTATAGGTACGGTAAGTGAAAACCTGGGTAGAGAGTGTTGTGAATTTGTGGGTTGGTTTTCCCTCATGTCCTGCTGATTACGATTTCTCACACTCACATCTGTCTCCTTCTTTGTGCCTGCACTGCCTCCCCATCTCACCCATTACAGGCAGTTCCCCTTATTGGATTCTTGTGGAGTCTTCTGGTCTCTGATCCCTTCCACATTCCTGCCATGGTCATTTCCCTACCAAATGGCTTGACAAGGCTCCCCCTCTGCAGAATCCTTCTTGGTTCCTCAGCCTGGCCTTGGGAGACCCTCTTCAAGGGGTCCCAGCTTCTCCAGACAGCTTTGCTTTGGCCACACTGCTCCACTCACACTCATCCCTGCTGCTGATGTGGGTCCTGCACATGCCACCTCAGTGCCTTTGCAGATGCTGCCCCTGGTGCGATGCCTGCTTCCTCCTTCTTCCATTTACTGGCTGTTCTGGCACCCAGCCCCATTGCCTACTGAAGTTTCTTCAGCCTCACGGTTGGTGTGGTGGAAAGGACAAGGCTGGGGTTTGTCTGCCTTCCTACTCACTAGCTTGTGACCTTGGGCAAGTTCCTTAACCTTCCTGAGCCTCAGATTTTGTTTCTAAAATTGGACTAGTAATACTAAATAGGGTTGAGAGGGTAGTAGTGATTCATGGTAGAATTCTTGCTTTCCGTGTGGGAGTCCCGGATTCAATTCCCAGCCCATTCACCTTATGCACACTCACCATTCTTATGTCAGTGGAGGCTTGCATGTTGCTGTGATGCTGAACACAGATGAACGAAGAAGAAAGGCCTGGTGATCAACTTCTGAGTTCAGTCACTGAAAAGCCTGCGGATCACAGCAATCTAATCTGATTGTGCATGGGGTTGCCCTGAATTGGTTGCTGACTTGAGGGCAGCTTGCTACAACAATTCTTGCATAAGAATTAATAATAAAATGTAAATTCTGTTGCCACTGAACTTCTACTACATAACAATTTTTTACATCACTGCAGTCAGCCTGCTCCATACCTTCAGAGTCAACCAACTTCAGGTTGAAAATACTTGGAAAAAACAAAAGCAATTTTAAGTGGTCAAAACAATTTTTCAAAGGTTAAGAGGAAACCTAGAGTGCTATTTTACATAGCATTTACACAGTATTAGGTATTATAAGTGACGTAGAGATCTTTTCAAGTCTATGAGAAGATTGTTGTTGTTAAGTGCCACTGAGTCAATTCTGATCCATAGTGAAGCTGTATAGAGTTTCCAAGGAGCAGCTGGTGAGCTTGAACCACCAACCTTGCAGTTCAAACAACTTTGCAGTCTGACGCATTAGCTCACAGCACCGCACCAGGACTCCATTACATAGGTTATATTCAAACACTACACCATTTTACAAAAAAAAACTTGGATACCTGAGAATTTTGGTATCGTGAGGTAGGGGAATGGGGGTCCTGGGAACAATCCTCAGCAAATACAGAAGAATGACTGTACTGTTAATAACAGCCCATTTATCAGGTAGGAATACTGAGACTCAGAGAAATTAAGTAACTTTCTATAGGTTATTTTATCTTATTTGCTCATCCAGACTATCTTTCTGATCTTTGTTCTTTATCTCCTTATCTTCCCAAAGAGATAATATTCTCTTTCAAATTACCATGCAGTGGTTTACTTTCTCAGTCGGCTTGAGCCTGTATCCTACTTTTAAAAAGTTGGGAAAATAATTCCTATGTTACAAGGCTCTCTGAGGCCCAAATAGGATTGTGTATGTACAAGTGCTCTGTGAACTCTGCCAAGATTGTTACTAGATTTTATTCTCCTGTCGAAGGGAAGCATTTTGTTTGAGCGTCTGGCTATCTTCTAACTTTGCACCCTTCAAAGTAATTCCTGCCTCTTTGATGGATCAGGAGTTTCTAGGTGCCTCAACCTATGTGAGTTTCCTTTCCATCAAGTGGGTTTAAGTTCCGGAAAGAGAGTGGTGTGGGGCCAGGATGCAGTGGGTGTTTAGTTCTGATCATGGACCTGCAACTTTTCGTGTGTTGTCTGGACTGTGTGTCCATGTGTGGGCCTTTACACCAGACCAGCTGCATGTGGGGATGGACATGGATGATAAGGTGGTGTAGTGTAGTAGCACTGTATGTGTGTCTAAGTGGTGTGCTTGTTGCGTATGTACTCATTTGCACATGATAAGCAGAGTATATATATTTGTGTGTGCAGGACCCAGAGGCTGTGCTTTGACACTTACTCTGTGCCCTGCATTGGCTTTGGGCATTCTAAAGTGAGCAAGGACAAGTCAGCCCCTATACAAAGGAGACTGTGTGCCCACGCTCTTCCTGCCCTGTGCTGTGGGATTTCATGGTCTTTCAGGGTAGCTGTCCAAGACTGAAAGGGTGGGCAATGCTGGGCTCCATGATAGATAGACTGAGGAAGTTTCCAGGGCACCAGAAAAGGAAGAACATATATGTACGCACACATACACAAAGGGTGAGGGGAGGGAAAGTTTTCTCAGGGTGGTGGTGGAAATTGATGTTTGCTGCTTCAAAAAAAATCTATTGAAGTAATTGTTATGGGAAAATTAGATTTTTGTTGGGCTTTAAAACTTTGTTACTTCAAAAAAAGTTTTGGATTGAAGCATAGCCTATAATGTCAATGTACATAAATATTAAGTATACAGTTTGATGAATTTCACATTTATGCGTGATTGTGTAGATAGATACCACACAGTCCTTAATGTTTCAGAAGCTTCCCAGAAAGTACTATCTCCTAGCCAATTTATTTTTATGAAGGTATACATGTGCATGGTATAACATTCAAAAGGCCCGGGGATGAGAAAAGGCTTGAGTTCCACAGGGCAGCCCAGGGGTCACGAGCATCTCTCAGAAGCAGTGGGGGCTCAGTGGTAGAGCTCTCCCTGGAGGAATCCTGGGTTTCATTTCCAGTCAATGCCCCTCATGCACAGCCACCATATGGGCTGTCAGTGAGCCTTGTGTTACTAGGAGACCTGGAGTGGTGTTGCAGGACTGGACTGCTAACGACAAGGTTGGTGGTTCAAACACATCAGCCACTCCTTGGAAACCCTATACAGGGTAGATATGAGTTGGAACTGACTTGACGGCACTTAATAACAACAATGATGATGAATAGATTTCAGCAGAACTTCCAGACTAAGCTGGACTAGGAAGAAAGGCCTGGGGATTGACTTCTGAAACCTACCAGTAAAAACCCCATGGATCATAATGGTCCAACCCCATTGTGCATGGGGTCGCCATGATTGGGGGACTATGCCCGCCCCTTCAGTCTTGAACAGCTACTCTGAAAGACAGCTAACATAGCAATGTGTCCCTCCCAGTCCTGCTCTCCAACCACTGGGTTCCCTGCCTGGAGGAAACCACCTATATACGTGCATCCTTTATTGAGATTCTTCCTTCTTGTTTT